CATAAATTTTCATAATATGTGCTGCTCATTGCTGTTGAGCGATCATCATCATCATCATTACAACCCTTCACAATTCCACTGCTGAACATAGGCCTCCACCAAGTAATGCCACAAAGCACGGTCCTGAGCCACCTGCATCCATCGACTTCCTGCATGTCTTACCAGGTCGTCACTCCATCTAGTGGGGGGTCGCCCCACACTACGCCTACCGGTACGAGGCTGCCACTCGAGAACCTTTCTTCCCCATCGGTTATCGGTTCTTCGAGCTATATGGCCGGCCCATTGCCACTTCAGCTTACTAATCCGTTGGGCTATGTCGGTCACTCTGGTTTCACTGCGGATATCCTCATTTCTGAGTCTATCACGCAGTGAAACTCCGAGCATAGCCCTCTCCATAGCTCGCTGAGCGACCTTGAGCGTCCTCATACGGCCAGCGGTGAAGAACCACGTCTCAGATCCGTAAGTCATCACTGGCAACACGCACTGGCTGTACACTTTCGTTTTCAGAGATTGAGGTATACCTGATGAGAAGATGTGTCGTAATTTCCCGAACGCTGCCCAGCCGAGTTGAATCCGTCGATTGACCTCTCGGTCGAAGTTGGACTTACCTAGTCGGACTATTTGTCCCAGGTAAACGTACTCGTCAACAACTTCGAGCATAGTGCTCCCAACAATTACCGGCATAGGTGTGACATGGACATTAAACATGATCTTTGTTTTGTCCATGTTCATCTTAAGACCTATCCGTTGGGAGACACCATTGAGGTCATTCAGCATAGTGCTAAGGTCCTCCAGCGAGTTTGCCATAAGGACTATATCGTCGGCAAATCGAAGGTGAGTGATGTACTCGCCATTGATGTCAATACCGTATCCTTTCCAGTCCAGTAGCTTGAAAACGTCTTCCAACGCAGCGGTGAAGAGTTTCGGGGATATAACATCACCCTGTCTTACACCTCTCTGCAGTTGGATAGGTTTCGTACTCTGGTTCTGTACTCGGATAGCCATCGTAGCCCTACTGTACAAACACTTCAGCACTTCAATATACCGACAGTCAACTAGGCACCGCTGAAGGGACTGTAGCACCGCCCAAATTTTGACAGAACCAAAGGCTTTCTCATAGTCCACATACGCCAGGCAAAGTGGCAGATTGTACTCTTCGGACTTCTGTACAATTTGCCGAAGGGTATGTATGTGGTCTATGGTACTGAAGCCTTTTCGGAAACTGGCTTGTTCGGGAGGCTGGAAGTCGTCGAGTCTGCATGCGAGACGATTCGTAATGACTCTCTAAAACAGCACGTAGACGCGGCTCAGAAGGGAAATCGGTCTGTAGTTCTTCAAGAGAGCGTTGTCGCCTTTCTTAAAGAACAAGACCACCGCGCTTCTGTTCCACGCCTCCGGAGTAATGCCATCATGGAGGACGGAATTGAGGAGCTTCTGAAGGACTTCAAGTACCGGTGTTCCACCCGCTTTCAGAAGCTCCGCTGTAATTCCATCCTCGACCGGGGCCTTGCCGTTTTTAAGGTAGTGGAAAGCCATTCTAATCTCGCTCAGACTGACGTCCGGGATATCATCGGAATAGTGTCGGATAAGACTTGCTCTTGGATCGTTACTCACGCTTGCATGTGGCTCCAACGATCATGTGTACAGCTGCCCATAGAACCTCTCAATATCACTCAGAATCTCAGGTATCCCGGAAACGATGTTGCCACACTCAGTCTTCAGCCTTGACAGTTGGCTCCTTCTGGCAGACAGATCTCTGGCAAGGCTTTGGAGCCCTGGTTCCGCTCGATCGCTTCTTTAATACGAGCAGTATTAAAGTTGCGTAAGTCTCGCCGCATGCATTTGGAGATCTGTCTGTTCAGCTGCCTGTATGCTGTCAAATCTGTTGACGATTGCAGCCTCATCTCCAGTCTAACAGCCATGAGATTAAGAGTGTGATCGGAGAGTTTTTGTGTTCTTCTGCGGCGGGTCTTGCAGAACTTAGCTCCGACCGCATGGACAGTTTCCACGAGCTTGTAATTCATATCGTCCACTGCATTGCAATCCTCTAGGCACTGAAAGCGGTTTTGTAACTCGAGCTGAAAGGTTTCGGGATTCTGGATTAGAGCACGAGGGGGACGGAGCGTTGACTTCATTAGACGAGACCTCTCCAACTTAACGTTTAGGTTCAGTGTGCCTCTACCATTAGTTAATCGCTGCCAGTTTTCACCCTTGCGATCACTGAGACATCACTGAACAGTTGGCGTCTGGTCGTCATAATGAAGTCAATCTCATTTTTTGTCGAACCTCGACCAGGTCCACTTCCTGTGGGGCCGCTTCTGGAAGAAAGAGTTAATCATAAAAAGTCCCTCTTTCTCCATAAAGTCGGCCAGCTGCTGGCCCCTTCGGTTCCGTTGCCCTACTTCAAATTTCCCCACCTTCAGCTCACCGCTTTCTCTTGTGCCCAGTTTTGCGTTGAAGTCTCCCATCAACACCGTGTAGTGGGTTTTGGAGGAATGCATGGCTCTGGAAATATCCTCATACATTTCCTCCACCTCCTCATCGGGATGTTCTGAGGTTGGTGCGTAAACCTGTACGACCTTCAGCGAATAGCGTTTGGTGATTCTGTGTATCAGGTACGTGACCCTCGTCGACACACTCCCAATCTTTACAACGTTGGTGACGAGAGACTTGTGGACGATAAATCCGACACCTCCTTGGGACAGATGGTCGCCTTCCTGGTGGTAGAACAAGTTGCCGGACTCGAGGATTGCCGTATCCTCCCCCCTCTCTTCGGACCTCGGATAATCCCATAATATGCCAGCGCAACTTATCTACCTCTTCTTCCAGCTCCAGTATCTTCTCGTCAGTCCTCAGGGTGCGTGCGTTATATGTTGCCAGGTCGAGTCGTCGTAGGTGGCAACCGAACCTCTACCGGAGATTCTTAGCACCCCCTGCCCCGCCGTTACCATGGTCACCACCGTATCCAGGAATAGCGGGGCCGCCGGGGGCTGGGGGCCGTTTTCTTGCGTCATTATTCATGGGGGGATATTTGCCATAGTTGCCACGCTTGGCGAGCGGGTTGGCAACCGCAGTTTTTTATTATAACACAGTTGTTATCAGGAAGATGCTGCTGCCCATTTCCTGCCCGTCTCCCTCTGTCGCCTCTTACGACACCCACGGGAAGATATGGGGTAGTGGATATTCTCAACCGCCACTACACGGCAGTTGAGCGATAGGTAAATTTAAAAGAATGTTGATATGAGACCCAAACATTAATTTGTTATTATTGTATCGATGATTCAACAAATCCCAACAAACTAGATAGTTGTCCGAACTGGTATGCAGATGCTGTACCATTTTTTCCGTTTCTCCTCTAAGTTTAGTTTTCAAAAACTGCATTTTTTGGGCATTTGACAAGGTTCGATTGGTATGAATTGCTTCGCAAAACAAATCCTTGAATGATACCCACTGATGATAATTGCAAGTGAACGTAGGTATGTCCATCTGGGGTGTGGACTTTTCTCGGTGACTTTCAGACCACATCTTTGTATTGATATCTTTCTTGACTTGGCTAAATTTTTGTTCATAGAAGCTGAAGGTTTCTTCATACGCTTTATTGGAGCCATCCAATTCGCTATCCAGCTCCCAGTGTAAGGCATCGATAGCTGCCCAACGAGACTGGAGAGTACGTAACAAGTCTTCGAATTCCCATTTCTCTGATACTAATTCCAGCTTGATATTTCATAGTGTTCGTTGAAATGCTTTAAAATTGCTATTGTTTTTTCAAATTTCTTCTGTTTTGCTCGATGTTGATCTTGTACTCGTTTGTGGCGTGATTGGATTTGTTTTAGAGACAATTGTGTGTTGGCTGATAGTTTTGGATATGCGCTCTAATGTTGTCAAATCTCTCCTTCAATCTTTCACGTTCTTGATCTATTCTTTCTCTGCTTGGTACATCCAAATCCAGTTGTGATAAATGCTGATAATTCTTCTCATACTCCAACCAATAGTTGTCTAGAGTATTTAATCTGCGTTTGATATAATCTGGAGTCTTCCTATCAGACCCGTCCTTCTTGAAATTTGTATACAAATTTTCAATTGCTGTTGATAGCTGCTGCTGCGTAGTGAGGACATCGTTGACAGACATCATGATATAGAGATAAGTAAAATGGAAAGATCTTACTTGATGTGATGCTGGTTGCTGATTGTGCTGAGGTGGTTGGCGCGTTCGTGCTGTAGTGGTGGTGAGTACCCAACGAAGACTTAGATTTTCCTGATGCGCTGCAAGCTGCTACCGCTAGGCGGCGCCCCAAGACTCGCTACGCCCACAAACGCTGCTTGAGCCTTGATGCTTTGTGACACCGATGGCCGGAGCTTATTGATAATGATATGATGCTGCACACTTATTAGTACAGACTGAAAAGCTATTGCACACGTCACTTAGTGCACTATGTCGCAATAAGTCACCGAGCCGAAACACTTTTTTTTCGGTTGTTAAAACCCGAATTTCAGGTCCCGCTACGGAGCTCGAAGGACCATAAAGATGTAAGGAACACTTTTAAATGATAGTTGATAGAAAAAATGATTTTATTTAAAATAATGATATTATATAATGATATTGATAATGATATAGAACGCGTCTACAGTGTTGTGAGCGACAACGTCAACTGCTTCAAAAACTAAAGTAAATGATGCAAATTATGTTGACTTAAATAAATCGCTTACACACTAAAATGTACGGTTGCACTGTACAAGTTTTATATAACGAGTATGAGTCGGACTCTCGTACCTTTTACAGAGGGGTATGCCTTGCGATGCCGTCTCCTTTGGTTTAATACTCAAAAATTTAAATGTGTAGTGTTCGTGTAAATATAAGAAATCTTCATGCTTCTCACCTTAATAGATGGGTCGATTGGTCAAATAAAACCTGGTCACACTTGTTTGTTCTACTCTTTTTCTTTTTTCATATGTACCTTGCTACATATTTATTTAATCTATGTTCAATTTTCAAAACCAAAATGGCGCTCAACTTAGTAGTCAAGGTTCATCCTGTAGTTTTATTTCAAATTGTTGATGCTTACGAGCGACGAAATGCAGATTCTCATCGTGTTATCGGCACTTTATTGGGTGATTAATATTTATTGTTCTAAAAAGTTACATTCAAGTTGCGAAGCAGACATAGTGCGACTAACCTCAACAGATTTGTTGTTATGTTATTTTTACGAATGCAGCAAAAGAGATTGTAAAAATCATGCAACAAAAAATATGTAGGCAAATGTTGAATCGGTTTGTTTAAAAAGTGGTCATTCAAATTTGTAACTTACATATTTTTTTGGTTAAGGCACATCGGACAAAGGTGTGGTGGAAGTGACAAATTGCTTTTGCGTACCTCACAAGGAGCATGCCGATCAGGTCGAAGCTGAACTCAACTACGCCATGGACGTTTATGAGCTGAACAGAAGAGTAAATGCTTCTGAAAACATCGTTGGTGAGTAACTATCTAAAAAAATCTACCTGAAGGCATTCTAGACATTGTTCTATTTTCAAACATAAACAGCAGTTCTGTTAAGATGTGTGCTAAAGTAATAAAAAAATAAAACGCACGTGTGATGACTTAGCAGTAAATACTTTTTTTAAGCATAAGCAGTAATGCTGGTGACATTACTAGTATTTTGGCTCAATTGTACACTACCTGGATGACTACCGTGTTGGCCTAGTGGTCATAAACGTGACTTCTGATCTTGAGGTCTTAGGTCTGATCTCGAGTTAGGCCTAAAACATCACTTTTTCTGTTCTGACTAGCAGCCTGAAAACAAGAAGTTAGCAGTGTTGAAGTCTCATATCTTGGAAAACATGTAAAACCATTAGTCCTGCCCTTGATCTCTCTCCATTAGCGTTGGTTTGCTGTCCCATCGGATGTGAGTGAGAGAATAAGAGACTGCACCTGTGTTTGCACTTGGTACTATTGTCCTGTCCTGTATAGATGGCTTGTCTGGAGGATATTATTTTTATTACATTTTATTACATTTTTCATGGTAGAGCCAGCTAAATAATAGTTTAGCATGAATGGGTTTGCTTGACTGGGTCAGGACCACACTCTCACAGAATACCAGTGTAAAATAGCAGCTTAATGCCGCTGTGTTTTGTATAGTGAGTGTAGAGAACAGGAAACCCCTTTTACTGGAATCGAGGCAGACCATCTTAGTCCTCAGGGTCGACAATGCATTTGCATTTTGATTTTCAATTGAGGATAAATGTGGATGTGTATGGGTCACAGCATCCACTTACCATCAGGTGGACTGTGTGCTCATTTGTCACCCAATTTAAAAAAAAAACATTACCTGCTCCAATTTGCTAGTACAAACTTTTATGATCATAAATCTTGTTTTTGCTAGTTTATTCCTAATTATTATATTATGTATACATTTTAAAGTAAAATTTTGGAATTATATTTCATTAGATGTAGCCTGCACCGGTTGCTTTGCTTAAACATTCATAACATAAACTATATCGCTATTACTTTTGTAAAGTAAAGCACAGGTCTTTCTGAGAGGGTTATGGTGCAGTTAGTTCGCTGCAGTATCTCAGTGTATATTTGTGGATTTCTTTATTATTGCTACATTCTAAAAACTGAACTTGTTATAATTAACAACACAATCTAAATATACAATTACTAATATATAATAAAATACAATAAAAACAAATAAATCTTGCTAAGGTTGATCAATGATGACAAAGAGATACATTATGCTTCAATGTTGGTCAACCAATTTTGTAATTAACAAATTTTTCCTTTCTTTTACATGTAGTGTAGTGCCATGCTGCAGCTAGTATTAATGTTGTAGCTTGAAACGGTCAACTTGACCGGGGTAGGAACACACTCTCACAGGCTGCTGTTCTGGATAGTGAGTGTAGAGAACCAGATACTCTATTTACTACATATGAGCCATTCCATCTTAGTACTCAGGCATGACAATGCATCTGCATTTGGATTGTAAATCAAAGATAAATGTAGATGTTTATTGGCCACAGCGTCTACTTATCATGAAGGGGACTGTGTGCATATTTGTCACCCTTAATAAATTTTCTTTTTTTTCACAAGTCTACTAGTTTCTGGATGTTAACGCTGTTAGTCTATGCGACTCTTACAGCATCCAGGCCGGGAGCTAATTAAAAAGAGAAAGGCAATGAGGTGAGGATGATGATGAATGGTTTATGATTTGGTATTGTATCATCATGTCGCCTTTTCAGGTGTTTTTGAGCTATCTAACCGCTGTCCGAGTGGGTGAGTTCGAATCCCCATCTCCGACTGCTCATCTCGTGTCGGTCGATGGTGTCTTTACTGTCTTTACTGAAACTTATTTATGGAGTATGTCATATTTAAATTTAACTTTTTAATCACGGATGTCTCATGTCACAGGGGACTGAGGTGTTCTATGTAGTTATTTAATATAATATAAAACAATACAATAACTTTATTTCAGGCATCAAGAACTTTAAAATTAAGAACATTGGGCCGTAGCCATATACATGTTAACCTAATAATATATATAAAACATAAATATAACTTAATGCTAATCAGGGAACTTTCTTCTTTGATTTTTCCCTGTATCAGGGAAACAGTAGAGAGCCAAAATTTGGGAGTGAGGAATATCTCTTTTGTATTTTTATCGTAAAAGCAATGTGAGGCAACAATATTCGCGCTTATTAATAAAAGCTCACACTCCCCAGACTCTTAAGGAAAGCTGCACGGAAGAACCTGAGGCACTCTAAAGCAACTCTTTTTAAAGAACCAATAGAGTGAAACAATGGTCCCAAATTCTTTGGTCGGAAGCTTATAAAACTGAAGATATGTGATAGCCAAACCCTCACATAGAAGTCAGATTTTCGCTGAAATCAAAGGCTATTACGATACACTATATGCCTCCCAAAATTAGCAACCTGACTCCGAATACTACGGACCAGAGCCACACAGCCACTTTACCAATAAGCTGCCAGATATCCATCTGGAGGAGACCGAGTTGGACCTCGGGCAACTTAAAAATAGAAAAGAGAGGTCGGAGTTACAGCAAAACTTTTGAAAGCAGCTGGACAACCATTGCTAAAGGAGCTCTTTCGAATTTTTAACTGCGTTTTACGAGTTGGGAGAACTCCAAAAGCGTAGAGCAGAAGCATTCTTCTTCACAGTCTTGTTTTACAAGAAAGATGAAAAGATAACTTTAAAGAATTATCAGTCCATCTTGCTTCTATTATCTAAGTTGTTTTCGAGGGTCATCATGAATCAACTCGCGCGGAGATTGATTAATTTCAACCATCCAAGCAGGCTTAGTTTCGAGGAGGCTAGGACACCATAGACCACATCAACACAGTAAGGCAAATTATACAGAAGACATGCCTTTGATTCCATCGAAACTTGGGCTGTTATAAATTCCTTGCAGCATTGCCGGATTGAGTGGTGATACATAGATGTCTTGAGGCATTTGAACACGACAAGCTTAATGTCCGTATAAGTACAGGGTGGTCTTACAAAACCTATCCAGTTGCATCGTGGAGTGAGACAGGGGACAATATCCTTGAAACTGTTAACAATGCAATGGAAGATGTTTGTAAAACGATAAACTGGAGTGGACACATCATTAATATAAACGGCAAACACAACTCACACTTACGCTTTGATGATGATATTGACATGCTGAGCAGCCTAAATGAATCCTCCCGTGTCGGTTTGTGTATGAATTTAAATAAGATGAAAGTCATGTTTAACAGTCATGTCATACCAGATTCGATTAATTACCATTGATGATGAAATTCTTGAAGTTGTTTAAGAGTATATCTACCTCGGCCAGATAATGCATTTTGATTTTTTTTGTATAGAATGACAAAAAAGCACACAGTCAACTTGATGGTAAGTGGATGCTGTGGCCCAAAGACATCTACATTTATTCTCGATTAAGAATCAAAATGCAGATGCATTGTTATCCGTGAGGATTACGATGTAATGCCTCCTTTCCAGTAAAAAGGGTCTCCATTTCTCTACAATAACCATATGAAACACAGCAGCATTGAACTGATATTTCACATTGGTATATAAAACCATCTTTAAGAAAGAGGCCGATTGGCAGATTCTGTTGGGCTGGGCAGCGTTCGGGTAGCTTCGTCAGGTCTCCTCGTCGCCATACCCCAAAGCTTGAAGACGAAAGTCTTCGACCAATGCGTTATGCAAGTAATCACATATGGTGCTGAAACGTGGACAGCAACGGTACGACTACTTTACAAACTCAAAGTCACTTAGTGGGCAATGGAAAGAGCTATGCTTTGCTTGAGTTTCTCCGGTGGATAAGATTTGTAATGAAGAAATCCGCCGGTGAACCAAAATCACCGATGTAGCTTTCTGTATTTGCAGGCTGAAGTGGCGATGGGCTGGTCACAGCTGTCACAGAAGGGATAATCGTTGAAGTAAGCGTGTCATAGAGTGGAGACCGCGTTTAGGTAAACATAGTGTGGGACGTGCCCTGGCTAGATGGAGCGCCGATCTGTGCAAGGTGGCTGGCAGCAACTGGATGCGTGAAGCCAAAGATCGTGCGTGCTAAGTGGTGCGCTTTGGGAGAGGCCTATGTCCAGCTGTGGGCTGCCGCAGGCTGATGATGATGTATTTTCGTGGTTAACTCGGCTACTTTCAGCTTTTGAATATTAATTTTCAGTCTAATCCATATAATTAAATGCTATAAAACCGTAAATATAAGAGATGATTAATAGTTTTACAATGACCTATATAGTTAATTGTTTATAATCTGCTGATTACCGTACGGCAACAGGATGGTGGGCCACTGGCAATGAGGTGACGAACCACTCGTCGGTGATTCACGAGTACTACTCGCGCGAGTGTCGCGAGCCGGTGCACGTGACGCTGGACACGTCGCTGGCTGGTGCGCGCATGGGGCTGCGCGCTTACGTGTGCGTGCCGTTGGGCGTGCCGCGCGGCAAGCAGGGCGTCATGTTCACGCCCATCGACGTCACGCTCATCTGCTACGAGCCAGAGGTGAGTCCAGCAGGGGCTCACCTGTGACAAGTCCCAACCTTGCATCAGTTGATTGTACTGCGCGCGTGTGTGTGCCTGCGGTTGTATATTTCAACGTGGTAGAGCCATGCTGCAGTTATATTATAGTTGTAGCACAAAGGACCATGCTCTTACAAAATACCAGCGTAAAATAGCAACTTGATGCTGCTGAGTTTTGTGTGATGAGTGTAGATAATGGGAGACCCTTTTTTCTGGATATGAGGCATTCCATCTTAGTCCTCAGGGGTGACAACGCATCTGCATTTTGATTCTTAATTCAGGATAAATGTAGTTTCCTCTGGGCCACAGTATCCACATACCATCAGGTGCACTGCGTGTACATTTGTCGCCCTTATTCTAAATTAAAAAAAAAACGATATCCAATATAAATACCCCTGTAGTATAGCATCTTTTGATAGAACATCAAATGTAGTGATTTATGTATTCTTTGAGAACATCTAATATTGGAAACAAAGATTAAAGATTTTTTTATAAAATAACAACTCCAGGTAAACAGATTCTGTGGTCCATAAAAATCTACATTTATTTTCGATTAAGAATTAAAATTCGGTTACGTTGTCACTCCTGGCACTAAGATGGAATACCTCTACGAAAACTGGTGTCCGGCTTCTCTACACTCACCATACGAAACACAGCAGCACTAATCTGCTATTTTACCCTGGAAGTCTGCAAGAGCATGGTTCTTACCTGTCGAGCCTACCCCATACCTTTAAAACGACACATCGAAAATAAACGCTTGAAATGGCTCCGCTTCCGCCGCGCGCTCCGCTAGCGACTCTCGTCACTCTCCAACATTTTAAATTCGCGCCAAATGCTTAATCGGAGGTCAAAGTGCGGTAAACCGAAAAGAACAAGCAAGCTTCGGAGTCGCGGGACACTATTTTTTTAATGTTTATAATATTTTGCATCATTTATTTTCTTGTTATATAATACAACATGTAGCTGTATATGTCATTGTTGTTGTCGTCATGCTATATATAGTTTATTAAAAGAGAAATCAACAAAGTTCATATTTATTTACGTATTGAAATAATAACTAAGGCATAATTTTTAAAACTGATTATATTGTATAACAGAATTTGTAACTACGTTTGTAATGATATTTTATTCCTCTTCTTTTTAGGGCATAATGCACATTTTCTTTATTTTTCTTTTTTGTTAAATAATTTGGATCCAGAATTTGTTTATTACGGGTAAGTCGCGGTTCTACCAATTCCGGTAGCAAGCAGTGAAAATAAAATGAAAGTAATTTTGGCTCCACTTTATCCTTCCAAATTTGGTCATGCTTTACTTTTGTTTCCACTTTTATTTTATGACGTCTAATACCATACTGCTAATAAGCATTTAGATATTTCGTAAATATGCATCTGTCCTTGAACATGCATGAACCAATCAGAATTTTTGTTTACCTGGAGCTCGCCCCTTTTTTATTTACCCGTCAAAAATGCATTTTTCCTTTTATTATGACTTCGTCAATACCGACCTTGTGTGCAATTACGAGACACGTGATTTCAAACAGGATGTTACTTCCTATAATACCGTCAGGCGTCGCTCCTAAATATGGATGAATTTTGTATATGAATAGACTACAAGGGCCTATCTTTACGTCTAGTAAATTTGACAGTTGTTCCAGAGCTACTTTCTAGTGTGTTCGGCCGTGGTTTATTGAAGACACGTGTCCAATGTCTGATCTGTACAACATATTTTTTACTGTACTAGCGCAACTGTTGGTTTTAATTCTTTTGACAATCTTTCCAAAATTAGAGGTTGCAATAACAGAAAAAAAACTCGTTAATCTCACTAAGAATAATATAGAGCACAGCCACATCATCTCCATCGGCTTACTGTCCTAATAGTGCGTATTGCGTTGTATAACGACTAACGGAATGTGACCTCCACCGACGTACGAAGCCTAGGTTGAAGCAGGCAAGCTTATAGTGGATATAACAAGAGTGTGGAGTCCCGATCTAGATACGAGGGCGGCACTGAAAATTTCGGAAATCAAGGAACTGACACAACATTACTATTTAAAAATGTATTTATTGCTTTTCGAAGTATTCTCCGCGAAATTTGACACATTTTTCCGTACGATGGAACCAATCATTGAAGCAACCATTCCATTCGGAAGTTGGGGTCTCCAAATGGCCGTTTTGTAGGCGTCCACAGCTTCTTCAGGTGATGAAAATCTCTGTCCACGCAAATTATTCTTTAATTTAGGGAAAGTATAGAAATCATTAGGGCTTAGGTCGGGGCTGTACGGCGGATGGTCTAATAATTCTCTGTTTTCTTGCTCTAAAAACTCTTTTGTTCTGTGTGCGATGTGAGAACTCGCATTGTCGTGATGGAGGATGATGCGGCGGTTGCAGTTCTCTTTACGGAGTTCAGAAACGACCTGTGGCAAACAAATGCTAGTTGGTAAACAAATGCCAAATGTAATTGGAGACAAACGTGGTGAACGAACAATTTTTGTTGGCTTTAACACACACTTTGTATGCGTGCTTCTTGGACCTGTCAAAAGCATTTGACCTTGTCTCGTATAAAGTACTATGGCATAAACTTAGGACGGAAACGAGCCTAAGGCCGGAACTGTTATCGTTGTTGCAGTACTGGTACGGTAACCAGTCAAATGTAGTAAAATGGGGAGACGCTATGAGTGACCCCTACAAGCTGAACTGTGGAGTAAGGCAGGGTGGGCTTACGTCACCGAGGCTGTTCAATCTTTTTGTCAACCAGCTGATAGAGGGGCTGAGCAGAGCTGGTGTCGGATGCGCAGTTGATGGTGTCTTTATAAACAACATCAGCTATGCGGATGACATGGTTCTGCTTAGTCCTTCGGTCAGTGGCCTCCGGAAGCTACTTAAAATATGTGAGGACTATGCTGAGAGAAATGGACTCAGATACAACGCCAAAAAAGAGCGAGTTCCTTGTGTTCGGGGAAAAAACAAACCCACCAATTTTCAGCCAATCATACGATTGTGTGGTATTCCCCTGAAACAGGTGGCAGAGTTTAAATATCTCGGCCATATAGTTAACGAGCGCCTCGTGGACGACGGTGATATAGAGAGGGAGCGAAGGGCGCTGTCGGTCCGGGGCAATATGTTGGCCCGCAGATTTGCGCGTTGTAATGCAGAGGTAAAATTAACGCTGTTTAGAGCCTACTGCCAGACTTTTTACACGTGCAGTCTGTGGGCGGACTATACGCAGCGGACCTTCAGAACTCTTCGTGTGCAGTACAACAATGTGCTGAGAGCGGTATTGGGGAAGCCACGTCACTGCAGTGCATCTGCAATGTTTGCGGAGGCTCGTGTAGACGACTTCTACGCGATCTTCCGGAAACGTGTTGCATCCATGATGGGCCGTTTAGTGAACAGCACCAATGCCCTTCTCAGCACTTTGGCGTGCAAACTCGACAGCCCACTCTGGAGGAGTTGGAATGGTGCACACACATATGCTAACAAGCGTGTGTGTATTTAATGTTAGTTAGTTAATCTTAGTAGTAGTTAGTAATTATATTTAATTTTAGTTAATTTTAATTTATTTTGATTTATTTTTAATTTATTTTCCTTTTTATTGATTGATTTTTTCATTTTTTTCTTCGTTTTGTTTTGTTTGTTCTTTTCTACTAACCAAATATGGACCCTGGTCTGAAATAAAGATTTATTATTATTATTATTATTATTATTTAACTCATTTTCGAACACCCAAACTCGTGACTGGTTATTTGTTTCGGGTTCGTACGCGTATATCCAGGATTTGTCACCCGATACGATGTTGTATACAGCATTTGAGGATCCTGCGTGGAATCTTTCGAGAGTTTTGATGCACCAAGTAACGCGAGCCGCTGTTTGCTCTTCACAGAGCGAATGCGGTATCCATCGGGAAAACAACTTTTTTACACCTAATTGTTCATGCAAGATTATTTGTATTTGACTCATGCCAATGTCTAAAGTTGCCTGAATTTCGCGGTATGTCACATGTCGATCTTCCTCAATCAGCTTACGCACAGCATCAACATTTTCTTGGGTGACTGCAGTTGTTGGACGACCTTGACGGGGATCATCACTGAGCTTGACACGTTCACGTTGAAATTCAGCAATCCAGCGATAAATTGTAGTTTTGGATGGGGCTTCATCACCAAATGCAGAAATTATCCGGTCAACACTGTTTTTGTGATAAACCGCTTCGAAAGTCATAATAAATCATCGCTCTTGAATTTTCTGGAGTCAATTCCATTTTCTCAACGACTGAACAAGTTTGACAAGACCGAGAATCTTTTTTTTTTAAATAAATAAATGGTATTCGATTTTTAAAACCAAGGAGTTTTCAATTTAAAAAGATTTTAATATGACAGGAACAGTGGTACACGACATGTCTATGGATGTTGTGTATATAGGAAGCATATAGTCAAATGTCATCTTCCTTAATGAAGTAACACAAGAAGTAACCCCAAAACTTCCTCTAGCCGATCGAGACCCTCATCAAAATTTTGCGCCGGTATCATCGTCCATATAAACGGGTACGTACTTCACCTTAGATTTAGTTAGTATTTTGTCCATTGGTCGTTGGAATAATGTCGGCTTAGCCAATGCACCTTGCATTGGCTAAGCCGAATGGCATGCGCGTGTATTGATACTGTCCGTCAGGCGTCACGAATGCAGTCTTGTCTTGTGATTGCTCCGATATAGGTATTTGGTAATATCCGGACGCCAAATCTAAGGTAATATAAACAGACAGTTTCCCGACAACATATCTAACTGATCATCATTGATTAAAACTACTTTTACGGATTTTATCGCGTTTTATTTATATTAATTTTAATACCCGACGTTTCGGGTGCTTTCCAGCACCCATGGTCACGGGGGACTCATGGGGGGGGGGGACCATGGGTGCTGGAGAGCACCCGAGACGTCGGGTATTAAAATTAATATAAATAAAACGCGATAAAATCCGTAAAAGTAGTT